CCCGTTGTGCTGTGCAGGAGATGTGCTGCTTTTGAGGACGCCTGCACCGCATAGTTTTCAGCACCCCGCGTTTGTCCATAAAAATCCTTGCTGCAGATGCAGTAGACCAATTATTTGTGAAAATACATCCGTTGAAGCTGCGCAGTGTTCCAGTAGAAGTCTTGAAAAGAACAACCAAGCTATTCAGTTTGTGGATAACGTTTCTATGTCTCCTGCTGCTGCCGTTGCCACTGCTAAGAAATCGTTTGTTGCTCCAGCGCCCCCTGCTGTTAGTGTTGCGAACAGAGATATGCCGAGAGTTATAACAGATCAATTAGTGCAAGCAAAACTCGAAAAATGTGCATCTCCAAAGCTGTCTTCGAAAGCTTCTGCTCCAAAGAAACAACGGACTTTTTCTCATGGTTGGAGCTGGAAAGGAAAACCTAGGGAAAGGCTAATAGCTTTTACGGTAAAATAACTTTTTATCATTTTTCTTTTCTTTAAAAGGTAATTTCTGGAATAGATATTTGGTTAATTTAATTCCTTTTATAAAAAAGAGTGGTGGGCCATTATATAAGTTCAATTTATATTCTTTACAATTTAGATATTTTTTTATCGAGTTTCATAACTTATACAAGGTGCTACTGGAAGGTATTGTCTGTAAGTTCATTGTGAAGGCTATAGGCCAATGGTGATGAGCCTATGACCCGCAGGTCTGATACTGATCTACGAAGGTTTTTTAAATGACTCATTCGTTGATTTTTATTAACTTCTTTTTTCATCGTTAAAAAGCAAACACACAATTTAAACTAAAGTATAAATCGTTGGTCAAATTTATTTTTAAAAAAATAAATATGTAAATAAATGTTTTCAAATAGACATTAGCCAATATATTTTCTGCAGTTTATCACAACACCTGTGTTTAAGTTAATTTTATTTATTTATTTTTCGTTTTGTGATCAAGAAAAATTCTTATTTTTCCCTTATGGTTTGAAAAATACGCATAAAAATTTTTTTCTTTAGCCATTTGTTAGTACCAAATCAAACTGTCACGCATATGATCAGTGCTAGTGCTTGGCTTTTCTTCTAGTTTTTAAAACCTAGAAGAAATATGCACCCTTTTAAAAACTGTGATAATGAAGAATATTTAATAATGTGCATATGTGCGTTTCTTTATTCCTTGTTCATTCAAATACAGAGGCACTATTGGGCATGGTATCATCTGGTATTCAAGCTATCCCTCCCAGGATTTCAAATTTTTGCTTACAACCTGTTGCTTTTCACTTTGAAAAAGAAAAGTTTTGGAAATAAAATAAGATGGGAAAGTAATTATTTTTCTGTAATTTTAAATTTGAGAAAAAAGGGGTTAATTGTGAAGATTTTCGTTAATAAAATTTTGGTTATTCCAAACTGTTAGTAACCTTTTTAGTGGCACTAACTAGGTGACTCATGGACTTGTATTTAACAAACTTCTGCGCAAAAAGTTTCATCGTCGTTGTTATTAGTGATCTAGCGCGTTCAAACCGGCTAGAATCGGTAAAGAAGACAGTTGGCTTTTGGAGCCTTGGTGCCAGCTTATTCACTTTATTCTTGATGTTCTTTCATGGGAGTTATCGGAACAAAAAAAATTTGGGGGATCATATCAGGACTTAAAAGCAAATGGGAAACGGTTAGAACCTTTGAATTGACCAGTAAAATGGTCATGAAGATGACTGACGGAGGCGCATTGAAGTTTCCAAATGTCTGCCTTGTTGGGTCGGAACTTTTTAAAATGTCTAATGCCTAATGACGGTTCGATTCAAGAGTTTAGTCACGATTGTCAGAGTTTGATCAATGGTTCTTGTTGATGCCCCTAGCAGTACCAACGTTGATTTTTTTTCACGACCTTCAAAATATGCCTTGTGCTACCGGTAGACTTGACGCTTTGAAGAACAATCATGGTAACAGATATTCTTTATCATGGAAAAAAATTTCATTGCAAATTTCCCAAATATTGCAAAACTTTATTGCAATCCATCAAGCGCTGCATGGCAGCCTGCATAGGAGGCAAAAAGGGAATTCGATGAAACTGCTTGTCCTTACTCCTTGAATTGCCTGTGACGATCGAGCGACCATACATGCGTAGGCTGGTCAGTCTCTTTACCAATTACAACTGGTCTTAAATTGCTGGAACTCGTAAAAACTCCGCAATAAATTCCGTGACGTAACTTTCCTGGGGTAATTTGTGAATGGATTATAACTAAGTGTTAAATTAATAAAGATTCACGATCATGTGTCGTTTTTTGTTGTAATTCTTTTAACGGTAATTATAAAATGTTGTAAACTCTCAATTATCCGTGAAATTAGGAGCCATAACAAATGAGAATATTTATTCCGCGGATAATGCTAACTTATAAATGACGTTCTTATCTTAAAGAAACTTTTTGTTAATTCAACAGAAACCTGAATTTTTTCACCGCAAAAGAATTAATTAAAAGAAAGAGTGCTAGACATTTATTTAAAATATTTTTTGCTATCGAATTTCCCATGCACCAATTACAAGTCAATCGGCAATACTTCACATTAATAAGAGTATATAGCAAGTTATTATACATTGATAAAAACAATTACAGGGACCATTGGTTTTTATTTATTTTTTGCAATAATAAACCTAGCCAAAATATCATCCTTATATAAGACCAATTATGGGAAAACGAAAATGGGCACAACCTGCACCCTAAATGAGGAAACTGATCACTTCTCCAGCCTCTAACGGCTACACAACTCTCGCATCAGCATTTCATACTGTTTACCAGGGTCCTTATCAATCCCTTTGGCAACCGCATCCACTCGTGCATCAAGACACCTTTGAGCTTATCGATGGACATTGCAGCTAATCTTCGAGCTGTAATTGGGCATTCAAGGGCGTCCCATACGTGTTCGATGGTATTAAGGTCAGGGGACATCGCAGGCCACTCCAATCGTTGAATATCCTCCGATTGGAGTTATTCATCAGCCAACTGAGTCTTGCGTGGACTGGCATTATCGTTCATAAGGATACATATATTCCGCCTGAAAGTCTCATATATGGTGCAAGAATCTCGTCCCTGTATTGCTGACCTGTTAAAGTAACTCCCATACGAACACATGGAGGTCGGTATATCCATCTGCCATAATGCCTGCTCAGACCACCTCGACCATATTGGTCCTTTTCGACAATGTTAGTCCGATATTGACTCCCAGGGTACTCTCCAAATGAGAACACGTCTTGAGTCGCGACTCATCACTGAAAAGAACCCGTCCCCAATCTTTCTCTGTCCAAGTTCTCGGCGCCATGTTAAATAGTTCTTTTTGTGGTTCAGAGTAAAAAGAATGCAGATTACTGGGTGCCTAGCATACAGACCTGCATTAAGCATCTGGGTGACTGTCATCCGTAAAATTGATGTTCTTGTTACATTATACAGGTTGCAAAACAATTCTTTCATTGTCGCGAACCTATCCCTTTTAGCTAGAAGTCTCAAATAACAGTCTTGAACCGGCGTTGTTACCTATTTGCGGCCTTGACCAGGTCGGCGGATCACTATTCCTGTCTCTGTGACATGTTTCCACAAAGTGAACGCAACATTTTTCGAAAGTGGAGCCTATGATTGGCCCGCCTCGAGTCTTCCAACTATTCGCCATCTTTTGGTATCGTCTAGACGATGACGACTGGCTTTACTGACGATGTGTAAACTAAGAAACTCAAAAAACAAAGATTAAGCTAAGCTGCGATGTCTAAAACGTCATTACGCTACAAGCTTCGGCGAGAAAATGAGGTACCTCTACACAAACGCAATCACAGGCCACTGCATGGCAGAGGTGTCTGCGACAACTTAGCTATCATTTCATACCTTATTTGGTCCCGCAGTGGACTGATCGTTAAGACACGGTTCCCAGCAGATCACCGAAGTCAAGCATCACTGGCTGCGGTCAGTGTGCGGGTGGGTGACCACTTTGATCAGTCTGCGTAGGTTAGGTACGGAGGGTGTGCGGTATTGGTCCTCGTTAAACTGTTCTACCGTAAAGTGCTCGACTTCGCGTGTAGGTCGTCGGGCTACCGAATCGGGAGTGCCATCCCCTTTGCAGAGGATCAAAATTGTGATGACATGTCTTCGGATCATCCTCAGGGATGTCTCTCAGACCGCCGCCAATAACCCATTGTGCAGCTTTAGTGCGACGTAAATGAACTACAACTGCAAATACAACAAACATACCTTATTTGCGGATAGGCGTTACTTGCGTTTTTTTTTTTTGTTTTTTTTTAATAAAAATTTAAAAAAATTATCAGTGTAATTGTGATATTAAAATTAAGCAATTATAAATTACCCTACAGGCATGATTTAATAAATTCTAAAGAGTTTGAATTTCAGTGGATGATTATCAAACATTAAATGTGATTAATTATTACCGTGCCTTGGCGCATCGTACGTTTATCAGCACAAAAACGCACTTTTTGTCTGTGAATATTTCTTTTTTCGGCGGATTCTCATTCTCAGACTTTGAATTATGGAAGGAAGAAGGAAGGTAATCTTCATTGTATTGATTTTTGTTTCACGAAGAACTGACAAATTCTACGCTTTTGGCTATAGCTCCACGACTAACTACCGTACTCTGGGAATAAAAATTAAATTAATTCGAATTTCTTAATTTTGATTTCTCGGAAACGGCTACTATTGAGCCGATTTCGTTCAAACTATTTAATTTGGCACATTTAATTACCTACACTCTAATTATTTCTGGATAAGTGACTTTTAAAAGTAAGTGTTCATACATTAAATTTGAAAAGGGTTGAACTTCCGACCAGTCTCCTTGACAAAACTATAAGTCTGAGAATCAAAATCCGTCTTAAAAAAAGGCGGGTATATTTAATCAGAAAAAAAATAATTTAATTTTTTGAAATAAAACCTCTTTGGGTTATAGTTCTGTTTGAGATAAGAAAATAGCTTTTTTAAAGTTTGAAATAGAGCTATTGAATTGAGAAATAATAGGTAATTTAATTAACCAATTAAAATTACCTAAAATGGCTTTTCTTATGCCATCTTAGATTTCAGATTAATTTTTTTTAAAGTTTTTAACGAAATTGATGATTTAGTATTATTTGATGACACTTTACCTTTCAAATAAAATGCAAATTTAATTCTTCCCGATATTAGGTTAAGAGAAATTGCTTACTAATTTTCAGAACTTCTGCGCATTTCTTTCTTCTAAAATTCTTCGCGTGCAGGTCGTCGGGCTACCAAAGCGGGGGTGCCATCTCCTCTGTAGAGGATCAAAATTGTGATGCCATGTCTTCGGATCATCCTCAGGGGTGTTTCCCAGACCGTCGTCAATAGCTCATTGTCATTGTGCAGCTCTAGTGCGACGTAAATTAACTACAACAACAACAACTTCTTCTAAAATTCAAAGCAAGAAAACTGCATAAGTAAACCTGGGGCAGTAATAAATAGTGTACATTTGTCTGTTTTTATGTATTTTAAAATTTTTTTAATTAATTTTTAGTGTTAAATTGTGCAAAAATAACGATATTTGTTACATATTTTGAAACAGACAAATGTATAAATACTGTCTAAAAATTGCGGTTGAATTCTACTGTAACACTCGCTATGTATCTCCCATTTTGATCGGATAACATAACATTGTACTTTACATGTTTTGAATGATACTGTCGAGTACTACAAATATCTCATCAGTTTTATTTGAGAAAATGATTGAAAGCATATTTATTATGTTCCTGCTCTTTCCAGTTATGCCATGAGGGAAAAGACCTCATTAAGTAATATTTAAAGTAAATAATTACGACTGTAATAATTCGGTTACGATCGAGTAATTTATTTGATGTAACTATTTTTAGAATGATTCTGCTGCCTGTCCGCGCTTGTGTTATCCCAGTGTTCAACACAAAGAGGGAGATATAATTAACGAGAGGGACTGTGTTCTTCTGAAGTCAGGACCAAAAGAAACAGACTTGCCTTACGTAGCCAAAGTAACTGCACTTTGGGAAAATCCTGATGATGGTAATTATTGCTTTTTCTTTATTACAGTACAGAACCCGTTATCCGGAATTCAGAAAACCGGAAAACCAAAAAACCGGAACGAAATTCGATAAATTTTCCCGCAATTTAAAAAAAATAATTTTTTTTTCCTCATAAGATTTTAGGATTTTTTTTTCTTTTTTGAAAGATGTTTACCTTACCATCATTTCAGAAATAATCATTAGTGTATTACCTCATCGTTTTTTCTTATTTTTAAGATTATTTCNTCCAGGGTTTAACACTAAAAAAACGGCTTTTTGTAGCGATTCAGAAAACCGGAAAAATCAGTTATCCGGAATAGCGATAGTCCCGATCGTTCCGGATAATCGGTTCTCTACTGTATCTTAAATACATATGAACTTGAGCTTAATTAATCTGCTGTGGTTGCTCAAATATTGCGTAAACATATTTTTGAATATAATAATTAGCAAAACTAAGCATATTACCCTCCAATGTTTACGACACGAAAATCTCCAGAACTCCCCTTGTTTTTATTTATTTATTTATTTATTTTTTTTTTTGGCATTGACTTTGACAATTAGATAGATTCCTGCAAGTGACGTCATCGCGGGTAAATCGTGGCATTTGCCGATTTAGAAACCACTCGGCTTCGATGCACACACATGACATCGCTTACAGGTACCCAATTAAATCTGATTTAAATCACGTGGTTAAGAATAAACACTTCACTTCTTCTCAAGTTGCAAGTACACAATTACTGCAACAGCCTAATTTTAAGTATTTTAATTAAATTCAAATAAATGTTGTAACGATTAATATCGTTTTAAGTTACGTAATTTTCGTCAATATTACATTTTAACTCATGTTATAAAATTTTGAAACTCCTTGAAGAAATTTTTCCAACTGTTTCTTTTCCCATTAATAAATTTTTTTTTTTTTTTTCAAATTTGAAATTTTACTAATTTTTTGGTTTATAATTAAATTGGATTATGTCGCAATGTACCTTAGACAATTAGAAATAAAATGGTTTTGAAGTTTTGTATTTTAAACTGTTTGACCCATTTCATTCAAATATAAGATTTTGTTATAAGAAATAACATAGTTCAAAATAAATTAACAAATTTTTGTAGCTTAACAACTAAAAACTCTTTCAATCATTATTTATTGAGTAATAATAAATAATTATTTAAAAATACTTTTTTGTATAAAATTATCTTTATTTAATCAAATTTTATAATTTAGCAGAAAAAAGTTTTCCTTCTTGAAAATAGATTTGGAAATAATAATAAAAAAAAGGCTCAGTTTTTCATCACTTCTTCATCAAAACGTTTCAACCATATTTTCCAAATTGCAGCTACCTCATTATAGTTTTGGGTAAAAAAATCTGTATCAATTGAAAAAAATATCTTCTTATTCAGAGAAAGTAGATTTTTTGTCTGATATTACACTTTAAAACTTTATTTGCATTAATTAACATGTTTCAGTTTTACTCATTGAACCATTGAAAATATAATTATTCAGAGTTGCCACTCTACAGGGAAAACTAGGAAAAATACAGGGAATTTAAAAATCACCTAAAATAATAGGGAAATTACAGGGAATTTTGATTTTTTTTTCTTCACAAACTGGGAAAATACAGAGAATTTTGTTTCTTATTTTTGTCTTTTAAAAAATGGTGGCCACTCAAAGTGTAATCTATGGGACATTTAACCATGATATTTCAGCCATACTAAACTATTTCATTTACTATAGCATCATTTAAGTATGTTCAACTGTTTTTCCAGCAATTAAAACTAATAAATATAGTTAACCCAATATAGCTCACACAACAGCACTGTAATTGTTGTTTCCTCTTAATATATTGTGTACAGTGAAAACACATGGAATTTTTCCAGATTTGAGTGGCAACCCTGTTATTAGATCAAGTGTTTTTTTTTTTTTTTTTTAATCTGAACATTTTATTACCAATTTGCCAATGATTTTTCTATTTCTTTAGCAAGCGTGTAAAAAAATAATAATAATATAAATTTTCAATCAGAAACTTAATTTTTATTAATATTCAGTATTTCTACTATGTATATGTTACTAGTATGCAAGAGTTATTAATGTGTAAGAAAAATTACATGGATCAATACAGTATTGTTAAAATTTAAGCCTTTACCATTGGTGTTTCTTATTACCGCCCTTGTAATAAATTTTTGTTATCTGAATCAGAAAAAACTATATACTTTAGAATAACAAGTCACTATTTAAGCTCACAAAGAAAAATTATAAATCCTTAAAGAGAAGGGAAGTTTAAAAAAAACATTGAAATCTGATAGATTGCAAGAAGAAACTGTGAAGAGATTAAAGATAATTATTAGAAATACTTTCACATTTAATTCAGCATTCAAACTAAAGTTTCATTTCGCTCGTATTCCATTTTTAATCTCTCAAATTTTTTCTTTTCCTTTTTTTTGTACATACTTATTAATGTATAAATAATATAATAGAATATATTCATTAACTTTATTTTATAAAAAGTATTTTAGACATATGTTCTTGTACTGTAAGGAAGTAAAAAAAAATTTCTGCACCATTATTGAGCGCTTTTTGCTGTGTGTAGTTGAGTAGAATCCTGTTGGCAACACCACTTTTGGTTTCCAAAGAACTTATGTGATCAAGGAGGTTGTAAGCTCTTCGAAAATTAGTTAGTGATATGTTGTGATAAAAATAATAGTTTTAAACTGTAACGTTCCATCGATTGACCAATTGTGCCAATCAATGGAAGGATACAAAACTCTGTGCAATTGTTTAATTGTAGTATGATCTTTTATATCTTTTAATTAATGTAGGAATCATTATTTTAGGTGAAATGATGATGAGCTTGCTGTGGTATTATAGACCTGAGCACACAGACCAAGGACGTAAAGCAGGTCAAATGGAAGATGAAGTGTTTGCATCACGGCACAAAGATGTCAATTCCATCGCATGCATAGAAGATAAATGTTATGTGCTCTCATACAATGAGTACTGTCGGTAAGTGCAAGTATACCAATGTGGGTGAAGAATTAAAATTATTTCTTGATTTATTTACATATTTTTAATGGGTTGAAATGTAGTAAAGAATGTTTCAGTATTCATGCAAAATATGAATTCCGTGCAATCAAACATTGTCAACAAAAAGTATAAAACAGCACTTCAACTGACAGCTCAGGGTTATTAGAGAAGAGCCTTCTTTTTTTTCCTTTTATGTTTTTAAGAGGGTATTTTAATTCAGAGAAAATGCAAATTTTGCGTGTAAAAATCTCACAGGGTGGCAACCCACTTGGAATTTATCAAGGAATATTTTTATTTTCTAAAAAAAAATGGAAAAATCAGAGAATTTTTTTTTAAAAAAATAGAATTTTTTTCTTTGATTTTTTTAATTTCACTATTATTTTTTCATCCATTACACCCACTCACTTTTTTAGACAGAAATTTATATCAGTAATTTAGCAATACTTTGCTTGCATCTAAACTTGCTCCATTATAACCCTGTTAAACTAGATGACTTTTCCACAGTTGTTAGGTGAATATGGAAACATTTAACTTCTTTGGAAACTGTGGGACTGAGCAGTTCATGAAAAGTACGGAATGTGGTGGGAGGCAGATGAAGAGTTAGGATATTTGCTCCTGTTCATAAAAGCCATGGTCCATGGGTCAAAATCATTAATTGTTCAAGTTCATTCCGAAGCCTTGGGGGCATTTTTTTCTTATGACAAAATGATTCAAAAGGTTTTATTATTTTTAATTTTATTAAATTCTCCAAAAATTATTTGGTTTTAATTTAATAACAATTGATTTTATTTCGCACTTTTTTAAAAAAGTTTTCGTACTATCATCCAATCAAATCAATGAATTATTTTTTTCCCTGAGCCAACCAATCACACATCTTATTATTATTGTTAGCAATGTTTGTAGACAAATCGTTACAATTGTGGCATTGACAATAAGATTTTTTCAATCTTATTTTAACCTTTTAAAACATATTTTAATTAGATAAAGGTCCATTTAAGAACCAACTATGTGTTGATAGCATCTAATTTTACTTTTTTGTTGGTAAATTTTTTATTTTCGATTCAAAATTTGAATTGTGCAGTTAATTACAGTGTTGTAAGTTTGTAATTGTTGCTTTCATTCCAAATATGATATTTTTGAAACAGTTTCTTCTTTTTCCTTAAAAGGCTGGTATAAGATTATAGAAATAAGATTAATAGAAAATAAGATTTATGAAATTTGATGAATTAGTAGAAATAAAATTTATGATGCTAATATCTTCATAAATTGATAATTCAGTTTTGAAATTGAATTTCACTTTCGACCTTGCCTTATTGGTAAATTCTACATGCTAATTAAATGCATCTTTTACTAGGTATAAAGCAAGTTTGGGCATGGACGATGACATGGTATCATTGACGTCAATGCTTATTCCTGACCTACCAGATGATTATCATCGGAAAAACAGGCTCCCTGCAGACGTCGTTTCCAGTGACATAGTTTTCTTCTGCCGACATGTCTACGATTTTCGCCAGAAAAGAATCTTAAAAAACCCGACGTGAAAAATTATTGCCAATGAGAGAATAAACTAAACATTCGTGATAGCAGCTAGTCTAGATTTAAAAGCAACGTTACAGCTGTATAACAAATCATTTATCCACTGACCAAATCTAGTTGATTTTTCTCTTAAGATATTATTTTTAAAAAAAAGAGGGATTTGATAGACCTCCATCCATCGTATCATTACTGACGAAACTAACTGGTAGATGATAAATATTTTTTGCTCTTGAAATTTATACTATTGAAGCGTGTTAAAATTTGGGATAGGAAACTTTGAAGTAATGTTTCGCTAATGGTTCCTGTTGAAAATTAGTGTATCAGATATGTATATTTGTAATTATCTTCTTAAAAGAAACACAGAATTTTATTTCCATTGGAGAAAATTGAATGTTGTGTGAGACCATGAGTGGGGAAACATTAAAAGTGTAGTTTATTATCATATTACAAACTGTTTGTATTGTTAAAAATAATTAGAATATGTATCATTAGTTTAATTATACTTATTTTATTTGAAACTCATCTTTGTGATAGTCACTTGCTAAAAGTCACTTCAGCTGTTATATATCACTATGACAGTTATATATCATTGTTCTTATATCATTTTAATTAGTATATTTCAATATATCTCTATGTAGCTGTCCTGTTAAAAAAAAAGCTTTGTTGTGTTGTCATCGTAAGCATTTTTAAAGTCTATACGTTTTTGAGAATATATTGTTTGTATCAAAAAAGCAAAATATTAAATTTTCCAGAGTTATGAAATTTTTATAATTTGTGCAATTTTTATGTTGTGAATTTTGCTGTGTGTGTTCTGTTTTGTTGCATGAAATATTGGATTTTACAAAGGTATCTATAGAATATATATGTTTTTTTTTCGTACAAAATATATTGTGTTAATGTTTTGTTGCAGTTCTCTTAATTTGCTGAGTACAAATAACTAAAAAGAACTGTTTATGAATTATTTTTAGGGTTTCGTCTTTATTTTTGTTTGAATTCCCTTTCATTTTTTCACTTATCAAAAGTCATTTCTAAATTCAAATATGTGTATTTTCAAAGTAGATCTCTGAATATTTTGTAATAAACCATGTACTAGGGTAAATCACACGAATTTATTTTATGAAGACATTTCTAATAATTCAACGTTTGTGCCTGTATACTACACCTATTGGTGCCTATGACAGTAGGTGTTTACTGTAAGTGAATAAGCTTTTATCTTAAATACACAAAAAGGGAAAGTTTAATTTTTTTATAAGGCTTTTTCTTTTCTCTTAATGTTAAGAATAGTGGAAATTACATTCACCTTTTCTGTAAGAAATTTGCTAAATTTGTCTTTCCTGTTTTGAATAAAAAACAAACACTGACTGTAGAATAATTATTCGTAAATTTAAAACTGTCTTTAATAGTCTTATTTCATTAATAAAATGAGACTTAATAATAGCAGACTAGTCCTACAATTACTTTTTTTTCTTCCATTCTGACTGTCTAATTCAGATCACGTGGATTTATGTTTTACGTTTTTAGAGAGACAGAACTCTCTTGGTATGTATTTAAGTGATTAAAAGAAGATAATCAGTGTTCCCATAAATCATGGTGAACTTAAAAAATCTGTAACTGTAAGGAAATTTTCTTTGGCAAAAAAGTCAAGAAGTTGTCAAAAAAATTTTATTTTTTGCTGAAAACTACAAAAATTCTGCAATAGACCAGGAAAATAATTAATCTTTAGAATTGGAGGTACTCTGTAAATAGGTCAAAAGCAAATAATTCTAACAATTTTTATAAAAGTTTTCAATGTAATGTGTTATAATTATTTTACATTAAACTGAATCAGATGATAAATTTATCCATAAATATTTTTCTTGCAAATTTTTTCCTATATTTTTGTTGAGAATTTCTTGGAAAATCAGTGTGTCAGAGAATTTGGAGTTAGCGTCCTAATAATTCTTAGAACATGTAATTTTGAGTTTTCAAATTCAGACATTCGCTTTTAAATATGATTACACTGAGAGATTTTTAATTTNAAAAAAATCATTTCTTTAATTATAATACATTTTTAACATCTTCTAATTTTTAAAGTATTAAATATTTTTTTTGCATCATCATATGGAAAATGTTTTACATCTACTTTTTCATCAGCTATTCTCATTAGGTTGCTCAAATGCTCGTTTGTTTCATTTTGATTGTTTCTACCCACGTTTGTTTCATTTTCATTTGTCCGTTTCGGAGTAGAAGATATTGCCTTTACAAGGTATTTGTCCATCTTACATTAATGTGCGAAAGATTTGAACTTCTTACATGGAGAAACCTTACCTACGGTAAACACGTGGTTGCAGAGAAATGCATTCTGAAAGAGGTTCCGAGGGATGGTGTTCTGTTGTTCTTAGAGGTTCTGAACAATACTGGTAAGTAGGGAAGCTAGATAATGGGGGAGATGTTGAAAATAAAGAAAGATCCAGGAAGAAAAGTGAAACGGATTTCATTCTAAATGGCGCAATGAGAAATTTTTTTCGAAATTCGTGAATTTTGAAATTGTTTTATAGAATGCGGGAATTTCTCGCGGTAATCATTTTTTAATGCGAGAAAAGAAAAAAATATGCGAGATTCTCGCACTGTAGTGAAAACACTGCTTGGGCATATATAATTTGACATTGGGAATTGACAGCCTTAAGTTTGCGAGGATACCCAAGATTTAGCTTTTATTATAACTAAGCTTTAATGTTAATAGCATGCCTTTTAAACAATTTTGTTTTGTTTTAGATTATAAAATGTTTATTTTTAACTTTGAGTACATATGTTTTAAGTAAAAATATGAATGCTTATATATTTTTAATCTGTGCCTTTACTTTTGTAAACTGTGAACTTTTTAAAATTTTAAATAGACTCTAACTATATTTATTTTACTCTGATGTTTTTATAATTTAGCCTCATTTTAATTTTCAGGAAAAGAATTAAGCTAAAATCTTGTGATTATTTCACTTTCTCAGTTATATTTTATTCAGGATGCAATTCTCTTTTTACGCATCTCCAAATTTAACAACCAAAACTTATTTTTAAATAATCTAAAAACAGTTGCAATTGCAAAGATCTGAAAATCCATTTATCAAACAAACAGTGAGAGAACCCATCCTTCTTTGAGCAGGGAGATTGTTTCAAAGAAGTAAAAAAATTTTAGAACTATTAATTGCACTTTGTATTTATTTTTGAATTAATGTTAAATTATTAAAATTAAATAAGTGGCTGTTTGTTGAGAAATTAAAGTATAAAATGTCTCTTAATTTTAGAACTGCTGCAATTTTTTTAAAACTCCCCATTATAAAATGCAATTTTTGCTTCGCTGTGCAAAAAGAATTTCTAAATTGCCCGCTCCCTAATCAATTATTAAAAATTAATGTTAATTTTTTCGCACATTTAAATCACAAATCTGATTAATAAATATTTAATTTTTTTTATTGCTGTTTATTTGCTTTTTTTTTTTCTTCTTATTTTTATTTTTTTTATTTTCTAAATATTGATATTCTGTGCTTGTGATCTTGGGAGGAAAATATACTGCGACACAGACATCATTACACAATGATCTAATTGTGATTTTAAAAGCATTCCAAATTTCCATTTACTCATTGCTGTTTTTTTTTTGTTTTTTTTTTTTTTCAATAAAAAATTTCTTATTTATGTTCATTTTAGTATCAAACTAAATATTTTTAATTTTCTTAAATCACAAAATTAATATTGCTTTGAGAAGGTGATATAGAGATCTTGGGCTATCTCATTTTTTTATTAATCAATTTTAAATTAATGTTTTTATTATTATTCTCTGGTTTGCAATCCACAGTTTGTGCATTTTTCCAAGGTTTAGCAGAGTTATTTATTTAAACATTATTTAATGAGTGTATTTTAGAAATGTAGGCTTTTAGTTTTTTTTTTTGCTATTATTTTTTAATTGCTTTTATTCTTCCTTTAATCAGTAGAAATATCAATTATGTAAGCCAGCATCAATTACTATTTTATACTTGAACTTTTTTTTGTATCAGTTACTTTGATAGATAAAATTGAAATGTGAGTATTTTGAAATTAAATTTTTGATGGCATAAGTTTTTGAATAATATAAAAAGGGGCATATACTTTAGCATTTAATAAATTTCTGAATTTTTCTTTTCATGTTCTATTTTTTCCGATATAAAAACAATTTTTTATTTTTGGAAAGTCTTACACTTTCTTAACTGAAGTGAAGTTGTCTTCATTTTAAAAGTTTAAGGATAAAGGAAAAAAAATTAAGTTATAAATATATGGTCGAAATGGTTATTTTCACAAAGAAAAAGTAAATTATCATAAATTCATCTTCTTAAATCAATGGTTAGAGAATGTGGCTTTGAAAAACTTATTAATTCCTACTGTGCTCTAAAATTTGTCTCAGACATTTGATTTACTTTGCATTCAATACCTCTATTCTAAAACATTTTTTTTTAATTCTAAATAGACTCTAAAATAATTCCACAATGAAAATGTCCAACATGCTTTAAAAAAAGGAAAGAAATCTTTACAAAATTTCACTAGCCTTGTTCTAAAAATTAATTTTAGTTACAAATATTTCAAATAGAGACTTTTAGTTGTGTTTATTACTGATAAGTTACTTATACTGTATTTTAAAAAAATACTTCATTTAAAATTACAATTTTAAGTTAAAAATAAAATTATTGTATTAATGACTCTAAAAATTTAAAATTATCACTGTTAACTTCCATTAGCCTGCAAAATACTCCATACGTAAATAAAATCCCTGATCAAAATGCACAATCACATCCTGGAGTAACTTCAGATGATCTTGAGGTTAAGTTTTCCTTAATAAATTTGAATAAAACATAGTATGTTTTTTAGCATAGTATGCTAATTAAAATTTGATTTTCATTTTTGTAAAAAGAATTATTTAATGCAAAATAAAGCAATAGGATGTTTTGGAGAAGAAAAAAAAATTTACGATTATCTTAAGAAAGTAATACATATTACTTAATGATAAAATATAATAAAGTACGGAATCTTTTGTACAAATATAGTTAATTTTTCACAAATACCTTAAAAAGACTGCTTACTATGTATGTCTTGAATAGCAATAGCAGCATCTTTTTTAGAACTGCGATGTACAGCTCCAAATGTAAACAATTGAAAATTTTAAAAAATTGGGTTTAATAATTAACTTAGGGTAAAATCAAATAATTTTTGAAATATAGAGAGGCAAATTAGCGATTTTTTTTTAATGAAAATATATTCACCTTGAAATAGTACACAATATTTAAAAAATTTAATAAAACATTATAAATAAAAAATTCTTAAAGAAATTGTTTTTTAAAAGAAATAAACAAATCAGTAAATAACTTTGACTGAGCTGAGTTTTGAATAATATATGTTCAAAATTATTAGTACATGTAAGGATTTTGCAAACAATAAATATTCTTTCATATGCTTTTTTTTTCTATAATTTAAAAAAATTTCAATTAAAAAAAATCCGTGACTAAAAAATTGAAGTTTGCTTTAATTGAAGAAATTCTTTTATTTTATTTTTATTAAACAGATAAGTAAAATTCGCTTCATTTTACTTTAGCTATACTATACCATCTTTCCGTAGCTCTGATTAAAGGAATGATTTTAACTTCATAGAAACTTTTCCTCATAGATTTGCACGAAATTACACCCAAACATTTTCTGCCCCTGCATCTTAGTTTTACCACAAAAATTTTCTAATTATTCTACAAAAGCTGTTACAAAACAGGCCTTTCGCCTACAAACTGCACTAGATTTGCTCTAAAAAAGTGATCTGGAAGTGAAATTGTATTGTTAAAAAAAACTAATAAATCGCAATTCTAGTTGGACTCTGTAAGTATAAACAAAATCAGAGATTAGATAAAGACTTTCATTTCTGTTAAAGGTATGAAATAAAAAATAAAAATTTTATTTTCATTTTACTTTAAGCAAATATTTTTAACCAAAAAATCAAAATTTAAAAATAAAAAATTAAATGAATATACTGGCATATTATACAAAACTATTATTTTGAAAGATTGATGGAAATAAATTACTAGAATGACAGCTTTTAAAAATCTTACCGACAATTGCCTAGCGACTAATCATTTCACTGAGTAATTTTTGTGATAAATTCGAAAAACTATATAGGATGCATTATAAATTATTTAAAGGTAAAAGTTGGACTTTTTTGGGACATATTACTATTTATTGTATTTTGTAGCAGTATTTCTACTTTTTGTTATAGTGTTCAATGAAGAAAAACTGTTTTTAATTACATTGTGATGTATGAACTATTATTACAAAATAATTGCTTTTTATTTTTAGTACAAAATTCGCTTTCTTCACTTGCTGAGCTTTTGTATGAAGTTCTCTTTTATGTGAATGCTGTATGTATTGTAATTTATGAATATATTTTAGCTAACTACTACATTAAAAAAATATTAGTATTGAATAAAACAATGGAATTGACAAATTGCGTCTGATTTATTTCCGATTCATTTTACTGTATCTGTTTTTAAAATAAAATATATGCTGCGTGGTTCTCAAAATTGAGTATGCAGTTTTCAACTTTTAAATGTAAATTACAATGCATTACAATCAAGGTATCTTGTAAAACCTTTCAAGTAGAAGGTATAAATTTGAGTTTATATTTTTAAACAAATGGTTCGTTAAAAAGCGGTTTTTAGAATCATTTTCTAACTTAAAGATAGAACTTGTTGATAAACTTTGACTTGAAGTTCTTTCAGGGTCACGAATTTTTCTACAGAAATAGCTAGTTAGTCAGGAAAAAATTGTATATTGCATTAATGTTGTATGAGCAAATGTTGAGGATTTATAATAACAGATGGCGCTGAGCGCAAACAATTTTCTTATTATTTTTTCTTCACTTCTTAAGTTTCAGNTGATAAACTTTGACTTGAAGTTCTTTCAGGGTCACGAATTTTTCTACAGAAATAGCAAGTTAGTCAGGAAAAAATTGTATATTGCATTAATGTTGTATGAGCAAATAAATACAATTTATGAATTTTCCAACTTCTATCCTATAATATGTATTCGAGCCAGAATTAATTTTTAAATATGTGACTGATTGTAATCTAATCTGCATTCTTGAAAATAGACAGTTGCCTGCATACTCAATTTTGAAAGCCATTTGAAAAGTTTAAAGGAAAAAAAAATTTGAAAGTCGGCAATAACTAATTAAAGAAAATTGCAGACGACTTTTTGCAGATTTAAAAAATGTGTAGAAATGTTTTTGAATTAAACAGATGATTCTGTGTTTTTAAAAAAGTTTTGTACTGTGACCTGGCAACTGATGATGGTAAATAATAGGTTAATTTCGCAACACTGGCTTTTGGAGTGGTCACCGAATTCCTTCAGCTTTTGTAAAGTTAACAATCGTTTGAAGGTAGACATTTCGAAAGATCTAGTTCATAGTTTTTCTAGTGATGTCACAATTCTTCTTTTAATAATAATTCTTTTAACAATATTTTAAATGATTTTATCAGTAAAAAGAACTTCAGTTGTTAAAGAACAATGAAATACATTTTACAATTTTTAAGAACTTCCTTGCTGCAAATTCTCAATTTTTAAAATGAATATTTATAATTGATTTTTTATTTTGATGAAAAAGTTACAATGAAAATTACACTCGGTGTACAGTTGGAAAATATTTTATATTAAAATGAAAAGTTTGTTTTCGAAACATTTTTATTCAACACAAAATCGTTTGCTTATAACAAAGAGAGAGTCAGAAACTCCAATTTAGGGAACTTGCCCAAACCTAACTTGTTTTCAATTTGATTTTCAGTCTTAGAGAGGGGAAGAAAACGAAACGTGAGAAAAAATTTTATTTATGTGTGCAAAATATTTTGTTAAGTGCCTTAACTTTCATTAAATGCTTTCGCTTCTTTTATGCAATTAGCCATTGAAGTAAACACAGGATAATTTCCATAACTGAGTAACGATTGGGGGGGAATTGAAGTTAACGAGTCCGTGAGTATGAAAAATTCTGTTTCAAAAAACTTAGTTAAAAAGTTGACTTACGAGTATTTCATACACTTGTGAGCGTCAAGGCAAAATACGTTCTTTATGTATGTACATTTCTATAAATCTCACAGCCTATATGCTGAAATATATTCAAATGTGCTTACTGTTAACTTATTATATTTTCAGTATTTAGGGGCTCTGGTGCTCTTCAATCTATTTGTTAACAAGTTTTTTGAGAAATTTCTAAATGGAGACAATATTCTAAATAACGAATGAGGGACTTTCTCTGAATGAACATTTATATTTTTTAACATATTCTGAATTTTTTCATACTCAAAATAGTAGCAGCAATCCGAATAGTTGAAGCCGTAGTGGCTCATGCGATGGAGCGCTCGCCTCCCAATGAGGTGACCCGATTTCGAAACCCAGCCATTACTGGTCAATACAAACTCCGCACCCTGCTCGCACCGACCATAGGGCGGAAGTTAAATATTCTCAGTGGTGGACGGATCATGGGTTAAAGATTCCTTGGCGTCATGCTAAACGTAAAAGGTTTTTCTCTCCATGTAACGCTAATGCAGGATAGTTCCATCAAAAAGTCTTCCACGAAGGCATATTTCTGCTAATACTTCATCTAGGAATTAATTGGTCTTCTGGAATGGGTTCAAAATTACGAAACTACGTAGTTGAACATTGATAATCGTGAACTCAAAATTGGGTCAGCTGTTTAACGAGGATTAGTGGCGGTTCAACGAGATTTGACATGTCTCTGTTTTCTAAAAAATAAGTGTACATAATTATAAAATTCGTTAAATAAACGATATGCAAATAATTTTTTATAATTATATATGCATATAGCTTTCCGTTGTTTAATTTGATGAGAATTGAAAAATTTTGTTACCGTTAAGTATGGAAAATTTTATATAATCTTAGTTAACGTATTTTTTAAAGTCGAAATATAAACGAATAATTCCTGTGCAATGAAATTCCTTATTTTAAGTTTTTATTTCTCGGCCGATTCCATCTACATTTTAGAATTTTTTTTCTTTCTTTAACTACATACAAATCTGTAAATTTTACAATTCAAAAAATCTTTAATCTTAACTAATTTAAATAATGAATAAATGTAATTTACAAAATTTTTGGCTTTGTAGCCTCTTTGGTCAAGGCAATTTTTTTTTTCTTTTTGCAGAAAATTACGAAATTTAAAAGATGTGTTTTATTATTTTTTTACTAGAATAATTTTATTATTATATCGAAACACATTTTGATTCTCTGCAATAGTTCATGAGATATGGTAAAATACGTGAAAAGTACAATTACAGTGCTCAAAAAATCTGCTAAATTATTTAAACTGTATTTTCCAAATTGTTGCTATTCCTCATATTTTAAGGGTCGGCAGTTCGGATGCATCAAAAATAGGGTTCATTTATGCAGGGAAAGTCCACTCTCAAATAAATCGATTGGCAGACTGGTAGGTCGTTGGGCCCATGTCCGAGAGGTCGTGAGTGCGATTCCCTCAAGCCGAAGACAATAGACAAAATGGTAACTGGTGAACGCTAAATCTGTCGGGGTGTTATTCGGTTCAGGTCAAAATTACGATCTGCAGACGGATGGATGATGTGTGACTGTGTCCTCCCTGCTACGTAAAATGCTATATGACGCATGCATGTTGTCTCCGTATCATCAGCGTTAAAATGAGGACATTTCGTCAAAGTGATGAAATAATTATCGCCACTTCTCGGAGGAAATGAATTTCGTCAATAGTAATGAAATATTTCGTCATTCTATAATTTTCCGAAAAAAATCTCGTAGCGAATAATGTCTCTAACTTTTCTAATAATCACTTTATCATAGTCACCATATAGGTGGGTTAATATCACCTTAATAACAAAGAGAACAGAGAGATAAATTAGACCAATGCCCGAAGTGCGATTCGAATCCGGGATTTTCCTGACACGAGACCATCTGCTTGACCACCATACAGCTGGTTGACATATTTCGGCTCTTTGTTTTCGATCATCTAGTCTTCATCTTATTTTCGTCATTCTTGTTAACAATCTCCCAAAATGCACTACCAAAATACACCAAAATGAGGATACATTTTCGTCATATATTTAGGAGTTCCCATTTCGTCACAATCACGTAATTTTATGACTAAATAATTCTCGAAATTAACGAAATGTAGTTCAAGGATTGCGAAATCGTCAAAAGTGAGAGTTTTAATTCTGAGAGTGCAGTGCTGAAGTAAAATATCTTCAGTGGTAGACGGATCATGGGTTAGTGTTTCTTTGCTGTCAGACTAACCATGGGAGGTGTTCGTGGTCTTCTTCTCCATGTAACGAAAAAGCTGGTTAGTTCCATCAAAAAGTTCTCCACGGAGGCAAATTTCTCACAATTTCATCCATGAGTTTCTTTGTCTTCTGAAATGGGTTCAAAATTACAAGTCTATGGAGTTGAACATTGGTAGTCGTAAACTCAAAAATTGGGTCTGCTGTTCAACAATGGTTATAAAATGTCTAGAAACTATGGACTGATGGAGACATTTAGTTTTTTCTCTGAATTCAATACTATTAATTTGTTAAACACACACATTTACTTATCTGGTACAAAAGGAAAGAAAAAAATCAAGTTCCTTTATTGTAGTTATTGAATAAGTATGCCTCGTACACACACATACAAAATTAAATTTTTTATTCTAGTCTTCATATAAAAGATAACGTTTCAATACTATAGGTAAGTATAAAGCATCAACAGATTCGATTAATTTTGGCCCCCAACCTAAATAGTTTCTTAAAGCAATACGAGCACAATGCTTCAGGGGTAATGGAGTTAGAGCTCTTTGCAGAAGCACAAGCTTGTGCCTTTTACTCATCAACAATGAATTGTCTATTAAACTCACACAAAACGCCTCAGCTGCTGATGCCACAAGTTCCAAAAGTTCGTCGTTATTTCTGGAATCTATGTGATGTATGCCTAGTAGGATGCCCAGGGGGTGCTGTCTTTGTCCCATCAAAACGACACGGGCTCCATACCTGAGAAGCATGCGTACAATGTTGATGTTGTGATTCGTGACTGAAACGAGATATTCACCCAAAGGAGGTTTCAGGACTGTTCTTCCATTTAGAGTCAAAATGGCGTTTGGGTCAGCACCATTTTCTAAAAGAAATCGAACAACTGCCACCTAAAGGAAAATGTTTACAGTAAATTGAATTGTTAATTAAAGAGTTTAAAATGATAATGTACAGTAAATGTTTTAAAAGGCCATTATAATCACTACTGATTAACCCTTTCTGGAACAGCAAATTTCGATGGAAAATTTATTTAGGCAGGACAACAATAAGTGCGACCTTAGACAATACATTCTAAGTAAAATGACATACTTTTGATCATTGTTGTTTAAATAGTGGTTGCTAAACGTTTAAAATCAATTAGCTTTACATTAATAGCGGTTGGTAACATGTGTTGAATTAGTATTGCCAGACTTGATACACTGCTTCAGAATGACTTAAAAAATCATAAATGAGAATGCATAAACACGTGATATACGTAGAATACATAAAGCTTATTTACTTACTTTGCTTTCTCCCAACTCAGTTAGAGCCACGTGTAGGCATGAACCAACTACTGCAGATCCTTGGTTTATATCTGTTCCAAGCTCAATCAAATATTTCATCATGCTAAAGTCACTTTTTAACAAAGCAAAGAAGAATGGTGGTGGCTTCGTGTAATAAGGTGGCAATTTCACTTGTGCACCCTTGGCGACCAGTAACTCAACAATTTTTATGTTACCGCTTAAAACAGCACAGTGTAATGGAGTTCTTTGCTCTTCGTCTGTTATAGCATTGACATCAGCTCCATGAGCAATCAGTATTTTTGCACATTCTAATCCTCCGGGGTTTCGGCAAGCCTTTGTTTAAAATTGAATGATCATTAGTTTACTTCGTTCATCGTTGAAAATTTAAGTATTTTATTTAGTAAAAATAAACATAATATTATTAAAATAATAGAAAGGAATGCATTTTAATCCTTGCCAATTATTTTATCTCGGATTCAGTGGGATTTAATATTGGCTCAAGAAAAGTTCTTGCAAGAATATATATTTGGAATACCAAGATTGGGATGCCTAGATTTTTCCCATTGCACAAAAATGGATTCAGACAATTACCTATATTCTCTACCTAGGCTGAACGTAATAAATCTATATTGGCTGAATAATTGATGTAAATTATAAGGTGAATCGAATAATTCTACATACGGCCACGGCCTTTCTGGGAAAGGATTGATTGAATCTGTATTCGGCGAATATTCGTAAATTGTCCTCTGACAGCCAGAGTTATATTGCCATTAGGCTATAGGCCCGATAGTAAAAACCCTTCTGCAGATTTTTACAACATCTGCAGATTTTCATCCAAGTTTTATTTTTAACAAGCAAGGCAATAGCAAGCAAAATAGGGGGGAAGGGGCTGCTGACACCTTCTGTAAAGTTGAGACTACATTTTTTAACTGAATTCAGAGAACATCTTAAAGGACAAAAAAGTAAAGAATTATTTTTTTCTGTTATTTGATTGCAAGCTGAACTGCAGAAGGATTGATTACAGCTTTTTAGTATCATTGCATAAAATTCAACTCTTGTAAAATTTAACATATGTATGTAAAATTACCTATGTGAAATTTACAAGGACTTCATATTTGAAAATTTTGTTACATGTATGTTAGATTAAGCTGAATTTTAACAATAATAATCTTTGATTGGTTGCTTTGAGGTAGCAGACAGATTTGAATTTATAAAAGTAGTGCTGCAGAATCACTCCGTAAATTCTGCTACCGGGGCTATAGGATATGTTGTTTTTATATGTACATTTATGTATATTAATTTATGATCAAGAATTTCATTACCTTCATCAGCAGTGTTATTCCTTGCCTGTCTCTTGCATTGGGATTTGCTCCATATTGCAACAACAATTCAACAGCTTTGACATCTGTAGGGTCTATAAAATTAATTTCAAATCCTGAATAATACTCCGCATTTGGATTAGCTCCATGCTTCAGTAAAAGTTCAGCAGCTTTGAGATAGCCATTCTTCAACGCTAAACGCAGTGGTTCTTCTGCTGGACTTGCTCTTGGTGGATAGCAGTATCCGATATCCCCGGGCAAAAGCTAAAAAATGAATAAATTTTATTCAGTTAACTTTATATTTATTTAAAAGTGTCTTTTTTATTGATAGCGTCAAAAAGTACCTATAATCGAATTCCCTAGGTAGCAGAGTAAAGCAAATATTTTTGTTACTATATACATGCGTGTTAAAAATTGACATTATGCATATAATATGGATAAAAATTTATCAAATAACCATAACATTTATGACCAATGTAATATGTCTCTCTGAAGTCTCGTTACTTTGCATCAAAAAAAGTATTCACTGCTTATTGATCTATTATTGCAAATCCTCAATCATCTTTCTAATTGCATCACTTAATAGTCGTAGTTGAACAGTATCTGAACATTACAGACGATGAAAAAATTCCTGAGTCAAAAATAGAGATACTGTCATTCTGGAAAATGTTCAATTCTATGAAATTTCCAGAAGAGCGCAATTGTCCAAAAAAATAATTTTTAATGAATAACTTCCAAAGATCGCATGCCTTACTAAAAACACTCCCAAAGATTCAGTCTGATGTGATACTGGTGTCCGGTGCATTGTTTATAGTAGTGTACACATTTCCTCATAAGAAAAACGCATACTTGATTTTAAACTCCAATTTAAATTTAAATTAGTTTTTGAATAGAAAAAGTTAAAACATTTCCTCAAGCAATGCGACAACTTTTAAGAAAAATTCATTAAAGTTGTCGCATTAATAGATAAAACGTTAATAGTATTAATAGATAAATCTCATTTGTAAGTAAAGCTTAATAGATAAAACGAAATACGCCCTTTCAAAAGGTTATAGTCCCCCCATCACGAATTGGCATGAGCAAAGTGAAAGTAAAGCGAACCGGTAAAGTTTATTACCGGTTCAAAGAGAGGTAGTTATGTACAAAGCTGAGTACAAAGAGAAGAAGCTAAGTACAAGACTGAGTACAAAGAGAAGAAGCTAAGAAAGTCAAAGCGAAAGAGAAACGGAGATTTTGGGAGAAATGAATATAGAAATTTTTTTTACTTTATTTTAATTTATAACCGTCGTTGAACAGCCGTCCCAATTTTTTGAGGTTACAACTACCAATGTTTAACTCCGTAGCCTTGTAATTTTGTTTCCAATCCGGAAGACAAGGGAACTCTAGGATCAATTATTGGGAGAAATTTTGCCTTTGTGGAGAACTTTTTGATGGAACTAACCCGTATTTGCACTACATTGAGAGGAAAACCTCTTACGATTTGCTTGGCGCAAAGGGACTCTAACCCATGATCCGTCTACCACTGAGTGCATCTTAAGTCAGCACGGTGGTTGGTGCGAGCCGGATGTGGAATTCGCATCGACCAGCCATCATAGGGATTTGAACCCGGTTCACCTCATTGAAAGGCGAACTCTATATCGATAGATTATTTAGTTTATTCTAGAAAAGAAATTAACTGATTTAAAGAACTTTCTATCGTAGTGAACCAAAGAATCAGAATGCTACTTCAGTTTGGAATTCTCGCCAAAAGAAATACGCTTTTATTAAACGCGCTTCAAATTTTCCCGACTTTGAAAAAATTAATCTAAGCTTTTCCGCTAACTTGTCGTGTGACTAAATGATACTCACTTTTGTGAAGTTCACCCGCGCATTGTAGCTGAGCAAGATTCTGATAACGTTGCAAAAGCCTATCTGAGCAGCATTATGCATGGGAGTGTAACCTTTTTCGTCCATCAGGGATGGGTGGGCTCCTCGGACTAACAACAATGTCATAGCATCCACGTGCCTATGATAAACAGCGAACTGCAGAAGCCTGCGTCCATGATCAAGTGGCTCGTTTACGTCCACTCCTTCACTGAGCAACATACGTATTTCGTCAAGAGATGCGTATGTGCATATACAGTCTGCTATTTGACGGAGAATGGGGTCCTCTGGAATACAGGTTTCGTCTTCTTCCGCTACATGAAAATTCAATCAACAAAATAAATTATAAAGTAGTGTCTTTGAATAACGATTGATCATTCTATACACTGGCTAGGTATTCTATAGAATGCAGGATTTTATACATTAGCGGTGTATACAGTGAGCTGGAAAAAAATTGGATCACCCTGAATGACTTTCGATCTAATTATTGGATCTTCGAATTCTAGACACAAGAACATACTTTCTCAGAATAAACATGCCTTTTCAACCACGGATTTGGATTTCTGACCTCCAAAATATAGGGGAGAGAGTCACAATTCGGGAAATATGGTCAAAATAGTTTGGTCAGGAGAGCGATCCTAAGTTTTGATCTCATAATGTTAATTTTACTTTTTGCGTATTTCATTATATCTCGAGAACTTTTTAAACGAATTGAAAAATTTTTGTACTCAATTATAAAATTCATTTATCCAAAGATAATTCCATACAAAAAATAACTTTCAGTAAATATTTATTATTTCTTATTATTTCATTTAATAACGGTCAAAAAAATTTTGAATCGTAAGGTATAGAATTTCTTGCATCATTTTAAAGAACATAATTTTACATAAAAAAATATAAAATGTAAGCAAAATCAGTCGAATAGTTCCTGAGAAATCGAATTTTAAATCAGAAGACGTCGGGGAGAAAAAAGGTATGTTTATTCAGAGAAAGTGCGTTTTTTTGTCTGACTTTGTATTTTAAAATGTCGTCTGCACCTATTGACTAGCATATTTGAGGGGGTCCGTTTATTTATTTATTTTTTTTTTCATACTGTACATTTATGTCATGTCACGTATATTGTTGTAAATTTATATGGACTAAATTAAATTGCGTTTGCAACATGTGATAAAAAAAAAATCAGATTAGTTTATATCGGAAATAAAGACATATATATTGTCGAGGATTCTAAGAAGTTCCTTTCAGTTTGGAGAATTAAGATATTTTTAACTACGCAATGTAATAAAAATTAATAGTTATTAAACAATAAAAATTCTACTTCAAATTCTACTACAAATAATCTACTACTTCTACTACTAATAATTCTACTACTTCAAATTCTACTACAAAATTCTACTACAAATAATCTATTTCCAAATAATGTATTTCATATAATATGTTTATCTTTCACGTGATATGTATAGTCTTTCATATAATATGTAGAAAGTGCTGTATATTCTTCATTTCCAAAACAAATAGTCGTTTTTGTTGTTTTTTTTGTTTTTTTAAGCATCATTGTATAATTCTGCGCATCGGAGGTTAAAGACTCGTGCATAAAATCATACTTACAAAAAAAAAATTCCTTTAGTTGTTCAACAGTATTTTTAAATTATATACATATATATTATTGAAAGAATATTATTGGAACAAATTAAACAAATTAAGAACCTTTGAAACAAATTAAGTTAATCAAAATTCTCTTAACTCTCCAACTTGAAAGGAACATTTTAGAATATTTGACAATAAATAAAATATATTGTCTAAAATTTTATTTTTGATAAAAACTTATCTGATTTTTTTATTACAATTACGTGTTGCATACATTTAATTTATCTTTTAAAAATTTAAAACAATAAACGTAAATTACAGGCAATATATGAAATCTTGCATTCTACGTCATTTTATGGAATGACTTAAGTAAAAAACGATAAATATTATATATATATATCCAATGGCAAGTTGAATGGCTAATAAAAAACCTCGAGGCATTATATACAATGACTAGACGAAGTATATATAATTCTCATATTTTATGCTTTGCTTAAGAAGCAGTTGTCATTCTATTAAATGCATAATGGCACAATTACATTTCAATATAGACGACAATGCATGACAATAACATGCATGATCCGCTTTCTGAATTTTCATTTTAAAATTGCGGTGAAATCAGCTGGAAGCAGTTTCTCTATCCAATTAACAGTAAAGATAACGATTAGGAGCATATTTTTGCGGGTTTGAAACCGTTTACAACTAGTAAGGTTAGAAACCTTGAATACAAAATTCTACGGTTTTGTAACCATTTACAATTAGCATGGTTGATGATTTAGCTAGACATTGGAGTTACGTTGTGATTGAGTTGAGTTTTGTAAATTGAATGGTGGAATGTTGCTTAATTATTTTATCTACTGGTTCCTTGATCGGAAGAGAACGGAAACACTGAACTTTTGTGTTAAGCAGAGTGTTTTTAAACTGATTTATATTAACTCTCGAATAACTATTATTTTAACTCTCACGTATCAGCAAGCACTGCTTTAAAAAAAAAATTTAAAATCAGCAAAATTAAGGCACTTTTTGAAACAGTATACATAAACAAAATTATATTTAAAAGTGGTAAACAACAAATTAATAAAGTATACTCTACTAAAGTATAGCAAAGGTTAATCTTATTCCAAAAGAATGATAAAATGTACTTCATTTCAATTTCAAAATTACTATGTTTACCACAGAAAGTTTGAAGTTCCTTATACAATTGCATGAATGAGCACTGAGCTTTTCAATAGTTCAGGGTCACCAATTAAAGAATGCAGGACAATGGAAATTCCTCGTGCGTTGAAGGAATGGGAGAAATACAGTAGTATCAACTCTGGGATTCGAGCAACTGTTTATCAGGTCATGAGATTGACAGAATACATCTCTTGGCTAAAGTATGTACCCAGCTGAAAAGAACTAAGCTGCTTAATCACTCACTTATTACTATAAGATTATAAGGCAAACATTGTGTTAGGCATCCGATGACGGAAAACAAAAATAAGAATATGTAATACTTATCACATGGGTTAGCTTCCAGCTTTCGAAGAACGTGCCCTCATTTCTTATTGATAGTTGGCGTCGATTAAATTTAGGTTATTTAACCGTTAACAGTCTATAAACGATTTTTCAAATTGTTAACAGTTTGAATACCATATTTTTTATTGGTGATCGAAATGAGTGATCAGAAGATCTCTCTACTTATGGCAATACTTCGCAAGCTTTCACCATTAGCGTGTGGATAATCATAGGAGTAGGAAGTTCCGTATTGATTTTCAAACTATTAAAATATTTTTAGTATGGAAACCATGTGGAACTTCAAACTGCATTAAATATAATTCTTAAGCGTCGTTGAAATTTCAAAAAATATTTTTGGCAATTTAAATCGGAAAAGTGAAGTTCTTTTCATATTTAAACGTGAAATTTAAATATGAAAGAATGAATGGGAATGTCTTGCGATATTATGGGAGGAAAAATATCGCGATTTATGCCCATTCATTTGAGCAGAGCAAGAGAGACATGGGGGGAAGCGGGTCTGGTTCATTTCATCGACAATCACTTCATCGACAGGCCATTTCATCGACACCACTTCATCGACAGGCCATTTCATCGACTAGGTCATTTCGTCGACAGGCCGTTTCCTCGACAGGGTTGTTTCATCGACAGGCCGTTTCGTCGACAGGGTCACTTCGTCGACAAGTCATTTCGTCGACAGGGTCATTTCGTCGACAAG